ATCATCTTTAGTTTGAAAAGTTCCTGTGGTCCTCTGTCCCTGGTTGTAAAGGCATTCAACACTGTCGTTGTCTGAATGTCTGTCTGCCTGCCAATGGACCGTCCCCAAAGAACATTTTTGCATCTCAATGGACTGCCCAGTATCAACAATCTTTAAACTATAAATTTAACGCCTGCTAAAGAAAGCTGCAAATAACACCTGCATTGTACCATCTTGGTATCGAATTTACAAAATGAACAGATAGTCAGACTTCTTTTGCTTATCTCTCACTGGGCATCAGAGGATCTCAAATGCCTGATAAACATTAATTAACTGAGCTGCACAATCCTGTTCTGACGGCTGAAGGAGCATCGTCTGTAGGAGACAGATGGACAGAGTTCCTGGGAGGCCTCTCTTTGACAGTCACTGGCTGAGCTTGGAACTCCAGGCAGCGTTGGAACGATTCCCATAGGGCCATGGCTCAAATCAAGCAGTGCAAAGCTTAGAGGTCAAAACTGACAAACTCCTATAAATACATTTATAAAGGCAACCAAAGTCCATTTGCAAAAGGTCAATTTTTCCTCCAGGTGCCCTAGAAAGAGTAGTCTACCCACCAAAGGGTTACAGCTTCAGGAGGAACTTGAGCCTAGGAGTTACCTAACTAGGACACTGTTTTGACAGATGACATGGACTACTTCACTGGAATGCTGATTGGCCATAAATTCCTCCTATCGATTTACTCATTAAACTTAAGTGTATGACACTTTATTAGCAGATGAAAATTTCATTTGATACTTGCAAAATTTTTGTGAAATTTAATGACCAATTATTTTGTTCCTGTTCATGTTTTTATCGGGTGAACAATTAAGCTTTCTGTTCTAAAACCCAATTGAAAAATTCCACTGCAAGAATAAAATCCACAATTTATTACCCAGTAATAATAAGAGTAATAAAGTTACACGGGGTATGAGTTTGCCTAAAAATTAATATTTTGTGTAAATGCACATAGTAGAAGAAATGGGTAAGAAAGGGGCTCAAAGTTAAGTGAGTCTGGACTCCACTACTCCGTTTAAAATGAAAAAGAAATACCCACTGGAAAATACAAAACTTACTTTTACTTTTAGCATAGGCCATGTCCAATGTTAACACGTTAACTATAAACCTCTTCACAGAGCCCTATTTCATATCTAAATAAAAACACTCCATTTTTCAAGTAGTAAATTTTGGTGACCACTTTCAGGTGGTTATTCTTGTGTTATATGATCTATTCTAGAAGTTTTAAGACAACATAAATCAAAGTTTTCCTAAGAGCCTGCACTATTTCTAGCAAAGATTCTAAAGGCTTTAATATTACTTCTTATTTAGAAAATACACAAAGGTTTCACAGAAATATTGAGTGGTGAATGGGCAGCAAAAAGCCTAATTTGTATAAAGTGATTAATAAAATATAAAGCCTTTGTCTATGGTTTTGTCACACTCAAAGCACAATGATCAACAGAGGTGACATACACAATTTAATTTTTTTATAACAAGTTCACTTTCACACTAGCACAAGGGAAAAATATAGAGACATTCATGAAAATGCTCATCAATGATCTTACATTTAACACGTAACAAGAGAAAAACACTGATTTAGGGGGGAAAAGGAGGAAAGTACTAATGTTAATTAAGGGAACATTTTGAAATTTTAGCTCTTATATTTCCTTCCTCACTTTCAGGAGTACAGCAAACTGTCACTACTGAACCCCACAAAAAATGTGCCAGGAAGACTAGTATTCTGAAAGCAACATGGCAAGTTGCTCTGACATTCAGCTACTTATTAAGAACATTTCCACTGCTTATCAGCATAGTATTAAACGACTTAAATCAATATGTCTTATGGCATTTTTCCACATGTAATTTTTGATTTCAGTATTTAAAGACGATTGTTAAAAAGTTTTTCGTCTTTGCATTAGAAACTCTATGTTTAAAGTTAACACTAATATACTTTATTAATGCTCTGCTGAATGTTGTATTTACTACAAAATTTACTTAAAGTCTGATACTTTCTATTTCTTAAATTTCTTACTACTACATCCCCAAATAAACATAACTGCCAGCAAAGGAGTTATTTCAAATTTCCATTATCTGAGTCAAATATAAACACTCCATATTTACACTGACCACTGTATTTTATTCAAAACATGTAGACTGTATTGATATATATTTTATTGTGCATTTATAAATTATTACAGGACACTGTCACTAAATTAGGCTTTTACAAGTGTAAGATTAAAGTGCACTATTTTGCCTTTAGTAGACACCACATGGATATTTTGCTAAGTTTTCCCTCATGATGGAGCATGCTGATTGAGAAGACTGCATTTGCTTTGATAACTCAAAATACCAATTTCCACCACCGAAGTAGAGTTTGTGTCAAATTCACAATCAGAATGCTTCTTAATTTTCTCAGATGTGTTAAAAAACTCCTTAGCTAATATGTATACACCTCAAAAACTTTAAATTCAGGGCCAAGGATGTAGCTCAGTGGTGTAGCCACCTGCCTAGCAAGCATGAGGCCCTGAGTTCAATTCCTAGAACAACAAAAAAATTTACTTCAGTTATTAAACTAAATTTTGCACAACAAACCAAACTGGCTATTCTTCCTAGTCTTAATATCCAATAAAACCAGTGCTTTTTAAAAGCACTTATCAAATGCAAAATGTGAGTTTTGAAGATTCAGAGTTTACTGAAATCACAGAAGAATGATTAAAAGCTTGTATAAAAATGTGTACATTTAAATTTCATTTTCTCACTACTCTGAAATGCAGGAGATAGTGCGTTTAGAGACTGTAAATCACAGGGTGTGTGGTAGGGAGATTAATGCTGAAGATTTCCTACTTCAGCAGCTACCAAGGAGGAACTGAAAAGACAGTTGTAATGGTGCAATAGAAACCAAATGACAGGGAATTACAGAAGTAGAAGAATTGAAATCAACAATTTTTTAGAAAAGTATCAGCATCGTCGGCCTCCTCAGGAAATGTAACAAAATCACTCAGGTTTTTACTTCACTGTCTGGTCATTTATTTAGTATTTCAAGTTCTTAAGGTGCACAAAAGGTAACAGAAAAGGTATGCCAAAAATACTCAAAAAGAGTCAAACAATTTGGCATCAAATGCAGACACCATGGATGAAGACCCTTTAAAAAGGTAAATGGAGGGGCTGGGGATTTAGCTCAGTGGCACAGCGCCTGCCTGGCAAGCGCAAGGTCATGAGTTCAATTCCTAGTACCGGAACAAAACAAAAACAAACAAACAAACAAAACCAGGATGCCAGGGGCTTCTGTGGAGACTCTGGAGCAGAATCTAGTCTGTGGCTTTCTCCAAGACCCTGGTGTTGCTGCAAAAAGGTGAATGGAAGAGCACTCCAGGGATGTAAGCGGAAGGCATCCAAGTGCCACACTCTCAAGACATGATGTAAAACTACCCAATGGTGGACTTCATTCCTTACCACTGGAAGCGAAATTAACAAAGCTTCTGTCTCATCCCAGCCTTACCACCAGAAGCCAGGGTCTCCCGAGACCAGAAGGGTATAGACAGCTAAGAAAACAATAACTAGGGCCGGGAATATGGCCCAGTAGAATCACGCCTGCCTGGCAAGCACAAGGTCCTGAGTTCGATTCCTAATACCAAAAAAAAAAAAGAAAAGAAAACAATAACTATTTACAGTTACACAAAGGCGGCTCCATAGAGCTATCTGAAGGAAACTCACTGCCTCAAATCCTCTCTTGAAAGGCACAGGAACTATCTCTCCTGTTTCCCCAGTTACTAGTAATAAACTTGTTCCTTCTCTGCAGAAAAGGTTCTTTGCTTCTTACAGGGGCCGTCCCAACCTTCTCTTAGCTCTAGGGCACGGCTACAGGCAGAAAAAGTAACAGCTTCTGTCATTTACTGTGCCCCTCTAAGGGGCAGGCCTCAGCTCCACTGTGGAGTACTTAACAGCGCAGGTGGACTTCAGAGTAACCTGCAGGAAAGGAGAGCAAAGCGGCCAACCCGACCTGGCGCAGGGCAATGTTTCTCTCCAGCCGGACCTCAGTGGTTTCCGATCTGCAGTCCCCAGTACTGGACTGCCTGAACCCTATTTCCTAACTGCATATTTTGTGCGGCTTAGCCTGTTTCTGATCCTACTTTTGAAGCATGAACAAAGCTTCAAAATCATCACAAACCTCAAAACTTTCTCGGCATTCAGGTGAAAGGCTATAATTGTGCGGCCTTAGGCAAAACCCAAGTATCACTTCCTGGGAATTTGTGAATTTTCAGAAACGAAATTATTTCCTGACAGAGTTAAGTCTACACAGCATGGACAGAAGAAATGCAGCTATTATTTTATAGGAGGCTTTATTCTACTTTTCCACCTGGGATACTGTCTTTCCCCCCTAAAAGGTCTTGACCGTATAAAATGTGCAGTATTCTTCTTTGTATAGTCTTCATACCATTCCTGTCTACACTTCTCTTATTATTCTCACTCTTCTCAGCAAATAAACAACACCGTTCTTCGTGCATATCTATACCAAGGACTTTTTAAAACCACCATCAGTATCTGCATCTTACCCAGGAGTTTACTTGCTCAGGGATTTCAGCTGACTTCCTTATTAATCATCGTGTCTCACACCACCTTAAAATGTAAACGTCACTTACTTATTTTAATGTCACAGATGTGCATCCTTCTGGGATTCCAAACCTTTTTCCAAAGGCAGCTTTGTGGTTTTGCATAATCACCAGGAATAATTAACCGGCATTCAATCTGAGCTGAGAGCAAACACACGCGAGCCACTGCCTACCATAGCATCAAGGGTGTGTGCAGTACACACAAGCACACATGAGCTACTTTCTACCACTTTACCCTCCTATATGTAAATCGCTACATCTGACGTAGCTCATTTGATTTCTCTCTCTACAACATAATACTGAGTGTAGAGCGTGTGAGATGCCCCTGCGTTCCTTTGAAAATATATGAATTATTGAAAAATTAAACCTTCCTACCCGTAACAGGGACTGGGATTCATCCTTGGACTTGCTTTCTGCTGATGCAGGGTACTGCTGGGTCAGGGCCCCAGCCTTCTCGCCACCGGCCGGCACCCCCTGCAGGAATCCCTTGGTCTCCACAGCCAAGCCATAGATGGGTCTTCCCAAATGGGCAGCTTCTACGCTGGGGCTGTCCCTCAGAGTCTTTGTCTGGTCTTGGGTGCTCGACACGGGCGTCAGAAGGCCCAGGCTTGCCTGAGTGTAGGACGGACTCCCGCGAAGGACGTCGGCCCCTCTCCACGTCACACCCCGCAGGTCTTCACTGGAACTCTCAGTCCAAACTTTCTCTTTCAGTCCCTCCTTCTCTTCTAGCTTCTCCCTCTTCACCACACTCTCGCACACTGGCTCTCCCATTTTAGAGTCTGGGTTTAGCAGACTGTAGACCTTCAGGTCTATCTTGGGCTCCTCCTTGATGGCGGAGATGGCGTGCCCGTCCTCCTCGCCGTTGGCTGTAGTGATGTCCTGTTCCTGGCAGTGAACCGTGTTGAAGTGCTCCAGTAGTGACTGAGTGTCGCCAGCTGTAAAACTGCACTGACGGCATTTGTAGCAGCTGTGTGCTCTCCTGGAAGAGAAGAGAACAGTCAGTGGAGACGCGGCCATCGGGAGGAAGGACTTTTGTTTCGTTTAAGCACCTCAACTCGATTCCAAGCAGTGTCGTAGGCAGAATGAAATACCATCTTCTCAACGCTCAGACAATGGCATTTAATTAACTGGCACTTTCTGTTCTGTATAAAGAATGTGAGCTCTTTTAATGTATCAGCAGTAACAGGTACACACATATGCACACATGCACATGCACACACACACACGCACACACAACCTCGTGCGCACACATTCCAGATGATTAGCATTAAAACTGGTTGGTTGGCTTTGCTACCAAGTCACTTGCTCTATCTGTTTTATCTTGGTGGATAATCATCAATGTCTGTATTAGTGAAATCAGTATGTATTTATATGTGATTTCATCAATGGACTTTTCACTTCCAGTTCATTTGCACTAAAGTGAGGGTTTTCTTCTCATAAATACACATTTCTACTGCTGAACTGATTTGTATAGCTTTTCCATATATTAAAAGCTACTCTAAGTGATTACAGTGTTCATTGCTAGCATGAATTTAAATCCATTTAGTGGATGAAATATGGTTATCTGATCTACCTTATCCAGAAAGTAAAATGTCTTAAAAATCCAGGACTTTTCTATATAAATACTGCTGCCTATAAGGACACATATATATTCAACAAATTGAATATCTACTGGCCATCAAACAGCAAAATTTCCTACAGAGATATGCTCACTAAAAGGATGTACAGGTGTGTGCTTTCTTTTATGACAGCATAAAAAAAGGAAAAAACTTATTGTCCAATTTCACAGCATCTTTGCTGTGAGAGAGAGAACAGTAACTGCTACTTTAGTACTCAGGTTTGATTAACAAAGAACAGAGATACCGCATTGAAAAAAAGCATACTAGAAAGGTATACAGATGATCTGCAAAAAGGTCATCTTTCTTCAATGAATAAAATGTCTTAACTGGGTCTCTAAGAAAATAGTACCTGAAATATTTTCTACTTCCTTTGTATAAACTTAGAAGTTACCAGCAAAGCAACAAAATGAGTTTTATGAGCTACTGCTTCAAGCTACTGTAGGATATGTAATTATACATTTAATTTTACATAGTCATCAAAATACTGCTTATTCAAGGACAGGATACCTACAGTACTGGTGAATAAAGAATACATTTTCTTGCCTACCTGGTGCTTATATAGTCTCTTCGGGAATGCTTCACATAAAACTAAAAAACCACATATAAGTATGTAAGTACAAAGGATAATATATACTAAGAATCAACAGATGGAATCAGAGTGGGGTAGTAGGGCTGCTTTGGGAAGTCAGGACTTTCTGAGCGAAGTATTTAAATGCAAAGGATGAAAAGGAGCTACTCTTGTTGGAGGAAGAGGAAGGGTAAACAGCACACTATAGCAAGCCTGGGATACTGCAAAGAGGTCACTTTGTCTGGAGAGTAGCAAAGAGGAAGAATGCAAACCTACAAGCTAGACGGTCATCTACAGCATTTGCTCTTGGTCATAGTGAGAAGACTGAGTAACTTTGACAATTAAGAGAAGCAGTAAGCAAGGTATTTGGGTACAGTGAGATGCATGTTTTAATCACTTCAGGAATGTGAGTTTCTGTATTAATAACCTTGCTCCCATTAACAACTCAAGCCCAGTGATGGAAGTTCCAAAAATGTTTCTATTTTGTAGAAGTAAAATTCAAGGATATAATCAAATCATAAGAAGTATTTATAGGGGTAGCACATTATTCAGAGTGAACATTTTGCTGAACAAATACAGATATTTAATGTTCACTTTTTACAAAAGATTGTTTTCCATCTCGTCTTCTGTATTTTTCATTATTTGAGTAGTACAGATAAATACAAGTGACATAATTTGCTGATAACTGGCCACAAAATTAATTTTTCAAAAGAAGATGATTTCTGACCACGAGTAAGATCTGTTATCACGGTCAAGGCTAGAAAAGGCAAAGACATGGTTCAGGTCACAAATGATAATAGAGACAACCTGAATCCAGGACCTGGAATCTTGGAAATTTCATCCAAAGAACCATCATATTAACATCACCGTTTAGGACACTTCAATGAGAAATAAACTCATCTATCCAAAATTATACAAAAAGCCTTGTACTTCGGAAGCCAGAATGTGCAAACACAAAAATGTGTTTATCAAAATGAGTAAAGCCAAAATACCTTATTTATGATAATCTACACACTCTATTGAGTCATGAAAATGTTAAAGTAAACAAACCAACTTCAGGAAGTACATTAGCAAGCTCTGAGACAGTTCTAAGGAACCCACCCTCCCACCTTGGTCCTGAGTATCTGGTTCCTTGACATGGTGATAGCTCTGCTGGAGTATATAATATAATTCCCACCTAGACATTAAAACTACATCATCACTGTCACTTCTACCCAAATGGGAGGCTCTAGTGCAGAATTTCCAAAGGATCGTAGAGATATCATTTTCTCAAAGGCTGTAAACACTTGGACAAGAAGAAGAAGAAAGGATCAGCATACAAGAGGAAAAAATGCAAGAGTCTAGAGAACTACGTGGCAAAATTTTATTTTTAAAAGGGAAGAATAGGGCACGGTTCACTGGTGCAGTGCTTCCTGAGTGTGTGCAAGCCGTGGACTCAGTCTTCAGCACAACAAAAACGAAACAGACAGAGAAAAGGGCAGATGCTTAGTTTTTGCTGCAGAAATGCTGCAGCACAGTGAAGAGTGTGGACTCAGTGCCAGAGTTTCCATCTCGACTCTGAATTTAACAAAAGATGATCTCTGGAATAATGTGCTGAGCCTGTCTCGATGTCTCCTCTGTGAAGGAAAAGAATGGTATGCTTCGGTATGGTTCTTGTGAATACTACGTAAATAACACCAGTAGCAGCTAACTCAGTAAGAGTGAACAGTGTAGATCCTAAAATTAAAGCCCCTCTCTTCCTTGCGAGTCTGCAGTCTATATTCTGCAAATTTCAACTCACAAGCTGGTATTATGGCATCATTTTTTTCTCCAAATCTCAACTCTCAACTCTCTCTGTCCCGCTCTCTCTCTCTCAGCGCTGGGGATATAACTCAGCAGCATAAACACCTGCCTGGCAAGTGCAAGGTCCTGAGTTCAACTCCTAGTACCAAAAAAAAAGAAAAAAGGAAAGCTCAGTGGTACAGCGCCTGCCTAACAAGTGCAAGGTCCTGACTTTGATTCCCAATACCACACCTCTCTCTGTGTTTTTTAGAAACAAGACCTCACTATGTAGTTCAAGCCAACCTTGAACTCATTATGTAGCCCAGGTGGGCCTTGAACTCACGGCAATCCTGCCTCAGCCTCCCAAATGCTGGGATCACAGGTGTGCACCAATGTGCCCAGACAGCTTTGTTCTAAAATCCAAGCTTCCTTACTTACTTACGATGTGATATTTTCCCTTTAAGACATTACTAATAGAATACATTTTAAGCCTTTTATTTCACCTAGTTGTAGGCATAGACCTCAAAGACTGAGCCTTTTGCAGTTTACCATTTAAATGTCAATCTTCACTCTCTTCTCACTAGTAACAGTCGAACTCCACACCTTAAGGATTCTAAAACATAGGTATAGTGTATTGGAAGAACATGCCCTGCATTTCATGAAAGCCTGGGAGATAAGGGATGTGTTGCAGGCACCTTCATTAATGTAGGTCAGAATATGATATAGCTAGTAATACAACCAAGTAATTGACATTACATAGATTTGATGTCTGCTTATTCTGCAACCTGGTAGACACTAGATCCACCCTCATTCCCTCACCGAAGAGATGAGTGTACCCAGCTTTTACCCATCATTTCACCTGGGCCTACTCCCAACCACACAGCGTTCTGGGCCGCACTCCAAATTGAGCTCATCACGTAGTATAACTCCAGATTCGGTGTCTAGGACTTCTCGATTTCCTGCTCTCAGGTTCTTGCCCCACTAAAACTCCCCCGACAGGTCCCAGCAAGAGCTCCTCCCATCTGCCCCATGGAGAAGCTTCTGACTCAACCAACCTAGACGGAACCATCCACAAGAAGGTGCCAGAGAACCGTGGAATTTGGAGAAAGCAGGAAGGGGGCAGCTATCAAAGGTAACTTTTTAGAAAGGATTAGGTTTTATATTGAAGAGAAAACCAGTTTATTAGGAAAGATGTTAAAGTTCTACAGACAAGTTCAACTCACATCGCTTGTCTTTTGAGAGTTCAAAGCATTCACAGGTATGTGAACTCTCAAGGCACTGAAGGCTAAAGCGCACTTTACAGACAGTAAAATGCAGAAATAGGCCCTGCCCATTTGGTTTACGTCAGTCACGATGGAGTGTTCTCAGATCAGTGTTCTACTTCTCTATTGTCTGCTTCCTAACTTTTTTATACTATACAGAAATAAACAATGATTGGCAGCCTAGAGGCTGGGGAATGTCTTCTAACTAACAGAAGAAAGACTGAGGCAACAGTGGTCTGCAAAACAAGCCTCACAGTACAGATTCCAAGGCCTCTGCACCCTCCTGAATCAGCATATCATGGACATAACCAAAGACTCTGAATTTTTAACAAACTCTGCAGAGGACAGCAATGCAGGGACCAATATCTATCTAAAAACCATGACTAGACACTAACGATTCTGAACAATCCAATGAGTAAACTCACAAGACCTCTCCCACCCCTAAGACTTGAATGAAGTGTGGATGATGCCCTTTCTCTCCTAGTTCTTCAGAATCTGAAGATGCCGGGTAGGACGACCTCTTAGGAGAGAGTAAAGCTTAACAGAGAAGCTGTTAAAGGGCTCAACTACTCAAGCTTTCAGGGGCCACTGAAAACTACAAAGTGAAGGAGAAAGGGCAATTCACTACAAGCACTTTCATGATAACACTTCCTCTCTCTTTGTATCAGTCCCAAATAAATGATAGAAAGCATATTATGAAGACATTACATATAAGCTTTTCACTAGCCTGTACAAACACCAAGAGCAGCATTCTCAAACTCCACCATGC